GTTTCAAAATGGACCTATAAGAGGTTCATGGTCCTATGAGATGCTACAATGGAGGGGGGTGGAATGAACGGTTCAATCTAACCATCCAATTATTAAACAAATTTAAGTCCAATATTTTCTCTTTCTTATTGAATAGTGGGATTGAACCTTTGTCACAACCCCCTCGTTGTAGCATTTCCATATAGTCCCCTAATCTAATTGCATAGTATTAAGTTCTGAGTCAACTTGCAATCCCTCACCATAGCCCCTCATTACGGTATTTCAAGCTAGCGATTCCTAATACTTGGGCAGCATGATTTCAGTGTATCCCACACCATTGTATCTCTATGGTGGATTTCATTTTCAATTTACCAAATGGTTTATACATTATCTGTGAATTCATCAACATTTTTAAGATTCCAAACACTTTTGAGAAAATGCATCTACGGCTACCTCGTGTTGTATATATTATAGTGATTGTAGAATGGCCTAAAAGAAAGAGAATATGTATTGCAAAAACATGGAAGAGCGAGCATGCACATGCCAATGCCATATTTAGGTCAATCGAAGGAGGCTCTATAATAATAGACACAACCAAGCCAAAAAGATCCAATACAAGTAAGAGGCGCTACAAACAGAGGACTCTGTTTTTTCTTTAATGGGTTTATATAATTTTTGTTGAAGCTAGCTATCTAGTCTACTGTGGTCATGTCTGATGCAAAGGGGTCCTAGATGAAGCCTAGTCTACTGTGGTTATGTCTGGTTAAAAGTTGGTGATGACACTTGAGCTGCAGTTTCAATCTCCATGGTTAATTAACAGTTGAAGATTCCCCTGTCATTCCCTCAGTTGAACCAGTAGCACTTTGAGGGCTGCCCTCATGAAAAACCTGGTGGGCCTGCCGATTCCTCCTCCTCCTCTGTTTCAGGGGGGATTTTACCCTCTTCTTTTCCCAAGTTCTTTTGCAAGCCACATCTGGTCTTCATTTCTGACAAAGGTTCAGGATAAGCAGCGTCAGTATGTTCCATTGATAGATCAAAAGAAAGTTCTTGTTTAAGGATCGAATATCAAGGTTTATAAATAGTACCCGATGAGGATTTAGTGTTCCAGATAACCTTTGAATCCCTCGGAACCACTATATCAACTCTTCCCACCATCTTTCCACCTACCATGTCA